CACTGGAGACATAACCAGGATCCAAAAAATGCCAATAATGTGTGGGCAGCAAAATAAAAAAGTGGGCAGGCAAAGAGTAAGTTAGGAAACTGACCAGAGTCAAGACCATAAATCAACAGAAAGGTCAGGCAAAGTGAATTATTAACAGCAGGTCAGGTCACAGGCAACTGTTGAAGACCACTCAGCACCGAACTTGGGCGTGACATTGCATGCATCTAGCCATGTCTGTGTGAAGCCCATGTACCACAGCATGTTCCATTACCAGCAATGCTGACACTTACCACAGAAAATGATTGGCTGAGTTTCAGGTTATAGGATCAGCATAACAACAACCACCTAATGAAAGTCCTACTCTGATTTCTCCTCCATCGAGCTGGCAGACAGAAACAGGAGGAGTGATTCAAAGAATACTCATATGCCCTTTTTTTTAATGGGATGATGTCTGGGGCAGGGAAATCTTGAACAAAGATATTTTATTTCTATTTCACAAGAAACACTATTTTGAGAGGGTTGTGTTTTCAAGTAACCGAGGACATGCACCTGCTGCTATGAATTTCCTAAAATGAGCCGAGTGGTTTCTTTCATGCAAGGGAAACGATTTTCATTACATTTATTCTTTGAACCAAATGATTTTCTGACCTTGGGGCTTGTTTGTGAAATGTAGTATAAAAGGCCGATTTTACCCCCTTTAACACTGGGCGTTAAAATAACTGTTTTAGTGCATTGACACATATTGCACAAAGGCAACCCATTAACTTTGATGGGCTGCCAACACACCTGCACTATTTTTAGTAACTCGGCACACCACAATGCATTTACAGCTGTGTGTTATGTTGCAGGTTCAGGTGTGTCTAGGTCTACTGTATATGTGGATTTTGGTGCCATTTAGAATCAATGCAATAAACATACCACAATGCAGATAAAGCACACATTGTGAATTGCAGTATAGCATTCATTACCACAACCAACTGGATTCATGCTGTGATTTTACGAATTCAGGATGCAAGATGTAAAAGCAAGCATTTGACTGGTTATATATTTTTGCCTGTGATGTTTACAATTCACATTTTATGTACGAATGCCTTCATGAATAAGGGCATTTTATGTTTTTTAGGAACATGGTCATTCCAGTTATTAGGATGAAACTAATTTTGCAAGTTACAAAGGGCTTGCATACAGTACAGGAGTCTCTCTTGCAACTAGCCTAACAGTGGTCAAACTTGTAGAACTGGGGGAGGGTGGGGGAGCAATTCGCAGTAGATGGAGGCTGAGCATTGGTTCTGAATTCTGGTACAAGTGGTCGCATGCAATGGGACGTTTGAGTATTGCACAAGGAGCATAGAAAGAAACCCCTTCCTGACGAACTGGAATCCACTATTACCATCCTGGAATTGCTTGAAGCTGGATAAGGACATGATGCACTGCACCATCAAGGCACGGGGAGTAATTACACCTTCTGTACAGAGGTTGAAGTATACTGTGAGTTTCAAAACACCAGTGTATTGAATTTGTAGGCTTGTAAATGCAGGTTTGGGGCAGTTGACTAGGAGAAACAAAGTGGATAAGATGACTGGGGAAATGGGGTGCTGTTGGGCATTTACATAATGGTGGAGAAAGCCATATTATAAATAGTTTGATCAAATCTGCATTGTTGCGGACTCCAAACTTTTTAGAGCTAGCTCCCCCATAGAATTTTAGAAGGTCTTCCCAGGTCTGATATAGGCAGTACAGCTTTGCCAAATGAGTGGCTTAAGATTTTCTTTCCTGCAAGCATGGATTGCAGGAAAAATAATCGCTTGATTCCCTCAGCAACACAATCAGTGCTGATGGCGGAATCCCTCCTGCAGAACCATTGTGTTCTCCCAGTGGGAGGAGCCGTCTCCATCAGGAGAACACATTGATTACTACTAGTGGCTATAATAGTCGCTAGCAATAATTGCATGTAAATTCCGACAGCCTAGTTGTACCCAAGTTGATCGATCAACTTGGGTACATTCAGCCTGCCCTACATGGTTCAAATCTCAGCTGGTCCCTGCTGAACCCGACGAGATTCAAACCTTCTATGGTTGGCTGTACAGTGATCACAAACTTGGAACCTAGATACTTAGCAGCACCAACAGAAATCTAATAGATCTATGCCTTGATGTGGATGTAGATCCGTTTTAGTGATATGGATAGACAAACACTGAAATTATGAAAATGTTATTTTTTACACTATTTAAAAAAAAAAGTTCCATAAACTAATGTAATAAAATACTTTTATATTTTAATATGAAAAACCCATTATAATATACATTTGTGCACAATATGCCTTTCATTTGAGATTGAGAATATGTTTGAAAATATGTGAAAAATCTCATAGCACAAGCATTAAAATTAGCCAAGGCTGTATAATCTACATTTTAATAAGTTAAAAATAAACCAAAGATTATATAAACCACGAACTCTGAAAATAGGTTAAAAAGTTAATATATTTCAGCATATGTAACAGTTTACGGTATATAAAAATATTTCATACAAAAGAACACTTGATGCACAAGCAGACATTTTTTGGTATTTGTTTGGTTGTCTACAGCCATTCTGTTTCAATTTGTTGCTTTTAACAAAGGCGGGGGCAGAACTCCTAAAATAAATACAGAAGATTTTCACTGTACAAGAAATATGGCAGCAGATAAATAGAGGACAATGAGGTGAACCAGTTAACCTGATTATTGATCTACAACAGCTATTAAATATCATGCTACTAAAATGACTACAACTGTTTAACAGGCACTTGTTATTTACAGTCAGTGGAGAGACATTTTGTGTGTTTAACCAATGTTTATGAGAGTGAGTATATCTATATGCTTTAAAAGCAGCCAGAAATCAGTTTTAAACCAGGTTGCAGGCCATAGTGAATATACTAAATCAGCGTTTCCTAAAGTGGGGTATGCGGACAAATGGTACATGTCTTTACTTCATACTTTTGCTCCATAGTTTACATCACTGTGGTCCTTTAATACAGATCCTATTAAACTTGGGGCATATTTATAAAGCTCTGAATGTGGCTTTATTAAATGGTGGTGAATCAATTACTGGCATTTAAAACATATGCACCAGAAATAATTACCTGCAGTGAATGATTGATGAATGCCAGATTCACTGCTTTATAAATACACCCTAATGTGTTCATTCAATGGACAGCTGCATAGAACAAAAGGGAGCATGTAAAGCCAAGAACTGGTAAGTGTACATAAGCTGCTGGCCACACTCAAGAGTGGACACTGGTCTTGTGAGCAGATAGGCAAGTATGGCAAATTAGGGATTCACTGTTGACTGTTGAGACCCAAATTGTAAAAGAAAAATTGACTGTGAAGAGATTCAAGTGGCAGTACTAAGCTGGTACAGCTCAGATAGTTAGAACATGTACCCTGCAAAGAGCTGCTCCAAACAGCATGATTACAGGTGGTACATAAATATGGCAAAAGTCCATAGACAAGACCTGCAAACTTGTATAAAAGTTATCAACGTGACAACTGAGAAACTGGGTCCTACGTCTGTTTTTTTTTTTTTTTTCCATCAAAGCCCATACAGACAGCATTGTATTATAAAGCCTCAAATAGCATCCAGAAAAAATAATATAAGCACTCTCAGACGTGAAAACTTTGGGAATGGAGAACAGTGTTTTTAAGTGAAAGACAGCAAGAACACGAAGAAATTTTACACATGCAATTATGTACTGGGAAATGTTATAAATATGCATTTTTGTATCATGGGATGATAGTGATTATCCATTAAACACTAACCAAAATCTGCAATAATTCAAAGAGAAATAATAAATAGAAAGGGACTAATGCTAGCATATTAACAGGCTACAGAAATCCTATAAGACTTCAACACTGGACTAAGCTCCCAGAATTCTCTGAATGCTAATGGACTCGCAGGATTTTTTGGTAAGGTAACAAACTGTGTGGCAAATGAAGTAAACCACTCAACCAATCAACAGGAAAAAGCAATGATTTCTAACCACATGTCAGCAGTTACAATTATTCTGTAGTCATAGTTAAGTTTGCTGTGGGCGACTTTGCGCCACTTCTTTGTCCTTGTTTTCACATAATAGCCTAAAAATTGTCAGCTAGATACTGTCTACGTAGTCAGCTTTTTACCCACTGAAGAATATCTCCACTAAGTGTATATCAAAGTATTATAATGCCCACCTCCAGCATACAAATGCACCAGTTTTAAGCCCCATCCTGTATGTTGCCAGGACCTGTTGACCTGTCTGCAGTAGCTGTCAGCCAACTCATAGAAAAAAACCAACACCCAGGCAAAGAGAGGAGCTAACCAACAGCTCTGTGTTCATACTGGGACTGGAGGGGTTATTGTGCATTACAACGACTCCAGCAACCTAAGCTCAGTAAGGTTCTCTTTGAGTAGCATTTGTAAAAAAAACAAAAAAAAAAACAACAAAGTTTTAAGTGCATCATCCTTGTAAAAATAACATTAAAGTGACGACATGTAAAATGGCAATGAATGACAAAACGGTGTAAAATATACACTTATGATAAACAAACGTACCCCAGGGGGCTTTATACATTATTTATACAGAAGCTCATTATTAATTGCACAGATTACATGCTTTCCTTCAGCAAGTTCAAATGTTTTTTGCTGCTGTCATAAGAATGCAATATTTTTTTTTTTTTTTACCTAATTAACAAAATTTACATTAGAAAACAGTTTGTTCCATACATGAATACTGTTTCTTGGTATAAATAGGCATTTCACTTTTCAAAATAATATAAAATTTCACTAAGTGCACCTTATAAACCGCTTCTATTCAGAAGAATTAATACACAAATAAACAATCTGATGTAGAAAAGCATAAAGCAAGGCTTAAAAAGGGATACTTCAGTGTTTTGTTTTTCCAGTTAAAAGTTTCTTTATAAAAAACTAAAATGTATTCACAAAATGGCACATGAAGGTCCCTCCTGGGTGGAGGAAGTATATGCTGCAGTTTCATGCTACACAAAGTGGGCCTCTCTGTGTTCTAACTCCTGAACACGCTTTGGCCGAAGTCTTGGAAAGGCTGGTTTCACATCTGGTGAAGTTTCCTCAAGAACAGTTTTTTGTAAGGTTTTGCCAGGTCCATGCGTTTCAGATACCAGATCTGAGTCTACAACTAGATTCACATTATTATTGTTGTGCTGATACTGTACTTTGCCACCGCTTGCAGATGTCGCATCAGTTTGAGAAGTCTCCTCACCTAGCTTTGTTTTTTGGGAAGGTGGTTCATAAAAAGTTCCAGGTGGAGGCTGCAAAGTTCTTGGGGCTCTGAAAGCAGAAAGTGGATAAGTTTCGGTTGAGTTGCTGTCGGTAGTAACTGGTTTGAGTTGGCTTGCAGATGGTACTTTTGGCAGTGCTGTATTTGATGACAAAATGGTGGGACTGCCATCGTGGGCTCTTATTTCTTGTGGAATATTTGTCATAATCATTGCAGTCCTGGGTGTGAATTCATACTGTTTGTACTGCTTATCCCATGCCTTACGATAACTTTGGGTCTCATAACAAGAAGCTCTGTGGCAAGAATTCATGGTGGATGGAGGTTTAGTCTCAGAGACCTCTTCAATAATGGGACTCTTGCCAAACTTGTCTGAGGTGGCCACATCCACATTCCTGGAATTCTTCTCGTTCAGCACGGAAGGAGGAAGAAGCCGATCCACGGGCAAACTTACAGGGCGAATCATTGTCTTGACTCGAGGAGCCCTCAGCTGAACTTTGGATATTTGTCTATAGGATTTTGCAGGTATGGAATTGTTTGCCTTTGCACTGTCTTCTGTACTATTTCTTACTTCACCCTCAGACGTAGTGTTCGGAGAGCTATCTACTTAATAAAAAAAACAAAAAAAAACTGATTAGATAGGTTTGTTCAAGCTGTACATCAAGGACTGTTTAAAAAAAGTTTACTGCATTAATTCCACACCTTTCCTAGTAACTTGTAACATTATCAAGCATAACCGTCATTTCAATTAGTTATAAACTCTAACCAACGACATTTACTTTGTTAAACCACTGTTTCAAACAATGCCATTTAAAAAAAAAAAGAAGACTGTTTTTAACATTTTTCATTCCTTTGTTGCCTCTTAGTGCTGCTGACCTTCAGCAGCCTTCCTGTGGCTAATTGCCATTGACATTCCCACCAGTAATGGTTTTAGGGCCTTTCCCAAGGCAGGTTTCCTGCTGGTGACAACAGTGGACCATATGACTATGCCTACATAATGTGGGCAAAAACCACAGCTTTCAAAATTCCATGTAACATGGAGCACAATTTGCAGAAAGGGACAGAGGGATGTCACTCTTATAACTGGAAGCGATTGCCAACAAGAACAATTCTTGTTGTTCATAGCGAACAATTAACTTTCAACTGTATTCTTTTCCATTCATTGTTTGAAAATAAAATTCTGATCGACTGGGGAAATACGAACTTTTCTTGTTAGTACAATTTTATATCACACTGAAGACACATATTGGATCGAGAGTGGAAGGATTCCTAGCATAGAGTCATGTTTTTACTGTAAAAGAAAGTGTTGTGACCATTATATTTTTACATCCCTACATTTGAATAATTTTGTTTTTTATTTTGGAATGGGAAGATGTCTAGATTTGCTACTAAAGACAGGATAAATGAGCTACTACAATGACTGCCCAACTACGTAGGAACTTCTGAGGTAAAATATCAGCCAAGCAATGGAGTTGATTTACTAAAAGGTAGAGCTCATTTACCTAGCAAAGTGAATGTCAGTGAATAAGGTGAATATGCCTGAACGTGCTTTGAACATCCATTTCTATGCAGGTAGAAAAATGTGGATTTTTGCCAGCAAAGGAATGAATATTTAAAGTGAACACAATTTCACCATATTCACCAGCATTTAGTTTGCAAAGGGAACAAACTAAGTAAACAGTAAACATCTACTACTTTAGTATATCAACCCCAACCAGGGGCGGACTGACAACTCATGGGGCCCCCGGGCAATAGGGGATCATGGGGCCCGTGTCCTTGCCCAAACGCAAAAAAGCCTATAAAAAAGGTACCAGGGGCATCTCATGGGGCCCCCTACCGACCCTGGGCCCTCGGGCAGTGCACGAGTTTCCAAGTGGTCAGTCCGCCCCTGACCCCAACAACTGCATAGTAAGCCTGCATATGTAATGAGCTGAACAGGATTTTTGTATTTACTACAAAATCCTTTTTTTGGAGTTCATTAAGGGACACAGGAAGTCTTTTGCCTTCAGGTTACACTGCTGCCTACAGGATAAGACACTGGCAAATATAACCAGTGAAGTATGTATCGTCATAGAGGGAGCAAAAGACCTAAAGACCCAGCTTAGAAAATATCCTAAGGTGAAGTCCCAAATAGCATTCTCTACCTGCAACACAGGTCCGAGAATGCACATTGGTCCTGGCAAGGGTCAGGATCTGGAATGCCTCTTGATGCAACAAGATCCCCTGTTCCTCCTAGATGGTTGAGGCACACCAGAGCAAGGGTGTTAATCATCTTGATCCAGATCAGATTACCTGCCGAGGAGATGATCCCACAATGTAAAATGTACCATATTTCCTGAAACTCCACGTTTCAGGGCACGTGACTGGAGAATGGGCGAAAAAAAATCTCCTATGATAAGATCTTCCAGAGGGTGGAAAGAAAAGACATCACATATTCCAGGGCTGGACAGCTGATCCACAAGATCAGAAAATACCTGGCCCACAGGGGCAGGCAATTCAATTTGGGCAGCACAGTGGCTAAATGGTTAGCACTTCCGCCTGGCAGTACTCTGGTCGCTGGTTCGAATCCCTGCCACGGCACCTCCTGCCTGGAGTTTGCAAGTTCTCCCTGTGCCTGCATGGGTTTCCTCCGGGTACTCCGGTTTCCTCCCACACTCCAAAGACATGCTGGTAGGTTAATTGGATCCTGCCTAAATTGGCCCTTGTATATGAATGTGAGTTAGGGACCTTAGATTGTACGCCCCTTGAGGTTAGGGACTGATGTGAATCTACAATATATATGTAAAGCGCTGCGTAAATTGACGGCACTATATAAGTACCTGAAATAAATAAATTTGCTCAGAAACATTCAACCTGGTTCACAAAAGCAAAGTGCAGAGTTGAGAGTGTCTGAGGAGAGAATGAATATGTGGCGTTGACTCAAATTGGGTGACCCACAACTAACTCTCACGTAACAGCTGGGATACAGGTAACACCTGGATTGAAGGACAAGGACATAATGCTCTTACAGAAGAAACAACACGGCCCAAGCTGTGTACAGGCATTGAGAGGATTCAAGCACCGATTTCTGAAGATATAACCAAATTGCTGAGATCTCTGACAAATCAGAGACATGATTGTTCAATACAGCCTGTGCCGACTGTTTCCTTCACAGTATTCCATAATGATGCCACAGGAATGCACTAAGGCTAACACTGCACCAAAATCCTTGAAAACACCAAGGGGAAGAAAAGTCAGGGAGACCTTTAGGACTATGCCCTAACCGAATAGAGCAGCCAGAAAATCCCTCTAGGAAAGGGAGGGAATGGTATATCTGGTGTATACCTGTCAACATTTTTCAAAGAACAGGCTTTAAAGTAGGTGGGAAAGAGAACACTGACCAGGTTGAAATACAATGCCTGGGACCAATCTGACATAGTAGTTGTAAAAATAAAACCTTGGTGCAAAAGAGACCCCAAAAGGACAGAGGTAGGTCTGCTAATCTGTATAGTGACAGAGTAAAATTGAAGGTAATGATTTGAAGAGAGAGCTGGAGATGAATGTACAGTTTGTATACCTGAAATAACACCTGCACGTAGACGCCTGAAGGGAAAACTATCCAGGGGTCCACAAGCACAAGGAATAGCAAAAGCACCACCACTCTTGAAAATAAGGGCACACTTTCATGCTTAAAAGTGTTAGCAGGCTTCCTAATCCAGATTTTGCAGGTTCCCAGAGAATAAAGTTTAAAAGGCCTATACGTACACACTCAATGAATATAGCAACAAAAAAGGAGGAGACTTAGTAGATTTTTCCTAGTCTTCATATGCTGAGGCAGATCGGTGCTCTCGCCTTCAGTAACATCCTTGATAATATCATCAAGGATCTGTCAAAGAGAGGTTGAAGACCATGCAGATAAAGTGCTCCATGGGCACAATCTGCAGACCAGCACCTTAACCAGTGTACTCTGCGCACATGTATTCACAATCATCCAAAACAGGAGACAAGGCTGGATGCTTCCAGCAGGCCATTACAGTGAAAGTGTAAGACAACAGCTATCTACTACACACATTCTCAGTGAAGGATCTACTGCCACAGTGAAGATATCTCCTAAGGGATCTTGACTATTCTGCCATGGTTTGAAAAATGAAAATCACAGCCAGAAGAGAGAAGAGGGCAGTGGGCAAAGGGCAGGGCTTGCCAGCAAGAACTGAGTTTTAAAGAAGCATTCCAAATGCTTACTGGTAAAATACTTGAATGTAGATATACCATCTGTACAGTCACTGTTAAGGTAGGCCACTAGTGTATACTACGCATTTAACAAAATCCTTTATAAACAGCAATAAGGCCAGGAGTCAAAGCCATGTAAGGGTATTCCAAATCCCCATAGAGGAAGACCTCAGGGCAGATGCGCAATAGGAAGGTCACTTCCAGGCTCTCCCTGCAACATCCAGTTCAGTAAAGTGTGGTAACAGCAGTCCAAAAGCTAGGCTGAGGAAAGCGCTAGGCTGAAGAAAGCTCTTGCCAGATAGCTGCAATTGCTAAAAGCCAGCTATAACGGTGATGTAAAGACAAGTCCTGCTTGAAGAAAAGAAAATGATAACCAAAAATAGGTTAGTCTTAACAGCAGAGCTTAAGGAAAAAAAAACAAAAACATGTGCCTAAAGACACTAACAAGAAAAAGAGGCAGGCAGGAGTAGCAGCAGGGTTCTCCCAGAGTTGGCCAGCAGATCTTTTTTGCTTGCCAGTGTCATATCCTCCTGTAGGCAGCAGTGCAACCCAAAGGTGCAAGACTTTCTGTGTACCATAAAAGGGAGGGACAAAGAAAGAAATATGGCTTCCCCTATGTAGATATGATTTGCATGGCTTCGCCCACTGTTCTAAGATGAGGAATAAGCCTCTGATTTTTTCAATCTGTAAGGTAAGCAAGACATGCAAATACCTTCTGTTCTAGAAAGCTCTACTTCACATTGAACTTGTTTAGTTGCAGACTATTGGTTCCTTTTAGCCCACCTTACCATAACCTGCCTGGCTATATTTCTCATGAACATATATAATTCGAAATTATACTTGAACAAAACGTTCTGGAAACATTAAACACATAGCAACTAGATTTACATGAAGCTAATATTTTTTCTTGTAGATCTAAAACTTCCCAATAAATCGTTCCTTTAAAATAACTAGAAGAATACTGGCCCTGAATTGTTTCATATCGGTTATAGTACTAAATATTTAAGCTCTTAACCTGAAATACTTTTGACAGTCATGAGTAACCCCAATGTTCCCTCTAGGGGTTCACATAGAAATGGCTGAGAAACTCTGCTTTATAGAAACACATATACACTGAAAAACTGTTATACGGGTTTACTAAAGTTCCCCCCATTTAAACAAATTCATTATTGATATACAGTTACAGTTGCAAGAAAAAGTATGTGAACCCCTTGGGATTACGTGGCGTTTTGCATGAATTGGGCATAAAATGTGCTCTGAACGTTATCTAAATCACAATAGAAGAACACAGTCTGCTGAACATAATACTACACAAACATTAGATGTTGCCATGGTTTAATTGCACATAACATGTAAACATTCACAGTGCAGGGAGGAAAAAGTATGTGAACCTTTGGACTTAATAACTGGTTGACTCTCCTTTGGCAGCAATCACCTCAACCAAACGTTTCCTGTAGTTGCAGATCAGACCTGCACAACGATCTGGAGTCATTTTGGACCACTCCTCTTCACAAAACTGTTTCAGTGTAGCAATATTCTTGGGATATCTGGTGTGAATCGCTCTCTTAAGGTCATGTCACAGCATTTCAATCGGGTTGAGGTCAGGATTCTGACTGGGCCACTCTAGAAGGCGTATTCTGTGCTGTTGCAGCCATTGTTTTGTTGAATTACTTGTATGCTTTGGGTCATTGTCCTGTTGTATCACCCATCCTCTGCAGAGCTTCAGTTGGCGGACAGATGGTCGTACGTTTTCCTGCAAAATGTCTTGATAAACTCTGGAATTCATTTTCCCATCAATGACAACAATCCGTCCAGGCCCTGAGGCAGCAAAGCAGCCCAAACCATGATGCTCCCTCCACCATATTTTACAGTGGGGATGAGGTTTTGATGTTGGTGTGCTGTGCCTTTTTTTCTCCACACATAGTGTTGTGTGTTCTTCCCAAACAACTCAATCTTGGTTTCATCTGTCCACAGTATATTTTGCCAGTAGTGCTGTGGAACATCCAGGTGCTCTTTTGCAAACTTCAAACGTGCTGCAATATTCTTTTTGAACAGCAATGACTTCCTCCGTGGTGTCCTCCCATGTACTCCATTCTTGTTTAATGTTTTCCTTATTGTAGATGTGTCAACAAAAATGTTAGCATGTGCCAGAGATTTCTGTAGGTCTTTAGCGGACACTCTGGGATTCTTCTTTACCTCATGCAGCATTCTGCGCTGTGCTCTTGCAGTCATTTTTACAGGATGACCGTGCCTAGGGAGAGTAGCAACAGTGCTAAACTTTCTCTATTTGTGACAGTCTGTCTTACCGTGGACACTAAGGCTTTTGGAGATACTTTTGTAACCCTTTCCAGCTTCATGCAAGTCAACAATTCTTGACCATAGGTCTTCTGAGAGCTCTTTTCTGCGAGGCATGGTTCACATCAGACAGTGCTTCTTGAAACCAGTAAACCTAAATTGGGTGTGTGTTTTTTAAGGGCAGGACAGCTGTCAGCAACACATTCAATATCATCACACTGATTGGAGTCAAGGTTGGCTCACTCCTGGCTCCAATTAGCTCTGGGAGAAGTCATTAAGCTAGGGCCTCACATACTTTTTCCACCCTGCACTGTGAATGTTTACATGTTATGTGCAATTAAACCATGGCAACAGCTAATGTTTGTGTAGTATTATGTTTCAGCAGACTGTGTTCTTCTATTGTGACTTAGATGACGTTCAGAGCACATTTTATGCCCAATTCATGCAAAACTCCACGTAATCCCAAGGGGTTCACATACTTTTTCTTGCAACTGTACAAAGTTAATCATGTTGACAAAAAAAAAGATCCAAGTCATCTATTTCAACCAATAGAACTAAAACGTTGTGTAGATTCAGTTGTAGTGAAATTCAAAAACAGATGTGTATACAATTGGGAGCATCAGCTATATTATGTAAGGATTTCAAGGTGATTTCCAGCAACCAAGGCCAAGGAAGCTACCATCTTAGCCTCTGTCAGATCTGCAGTTGCCATGGTGCTGCACATGTGAGTTAGGACACTAGCCATTTGAAGGCTTGACAGTTCAGTCAAGTACATAAGCAACTGTGACAGTTATCATCCACAGCATGCCTTCAACATAACCATTATGGGAAACTATTAAATCAATAGGCTTAGATCCGCTTTAATCTCCATAAGGTTTGATTGAGGTTTTAAACCTACATCATGGCGATTTAGATCAGCGATGGTGTTGACTGTTATCATGGTGAAAAGGATCTCTTCTCAAATATTCACTTGGCTTGAAATGTGTTTGTTTTGTCATAACCATTTAATGCCTGTTTATTTGATTGACATTTAAATGACTAGTATCTAAGCAATGAAAAATTCATAATAGGTAAATATTAACACGCTCTTAAAAAGGACAATGCTGAACTAGTTACATCATCTGAAAAGAACTTTATTTCTGTTTTGCAACAGTTTTTTTTCCTAGTTTTGTAGATCTGTGGATGCTTTGCATACTTTCTTCCAAGTACTCTATTTTCTAGCCTGGTGATCAGCACCTCCCATTAGGTGTGGGTATTTACACATAGGATTCACTGAACATTGTGGTGCCAAGAGTAATGGTGTGCTGGAACACAACACAACCAATCAGGTTTAATCATTTTAGAGAAGACATCCAAGGACCTATGTAAATGAAACAACGTGACTCGCTGTCATGGGAAGCTGAACTCAGTTCTTTGCATCTTATTAAAGCCTAGCGCATCGGGAACCCGTGTTCCTGCACATGTTTTCACACAATCTGCCTAGGGTAGCCCATTTATGTGAATGGACTGTCCTATGTGCAACAAACATGGCAAAGAAGCTCCTCTACCTTTTTGAGTTTTGAGCTTTATGGATATTTTTTTTTAACTGCACACAAACTGCGTGTCTGCTAGCCATGCTTTGGGTATCATTAACAATTATAAACACAATAAGCATGGTGTGCGTTTTGCACTGTCTTTGCATTCTGGGAACGTGCACAGAAATGTGGGAATCTGCCCGTTTCTCTATGTGTTAAGCAACATGAAGGGGAGAATGTGGTTTTAGTAAAGGGAAGCATTTGCTCTGCATTAACAGTTTAAAGGCAAAGTCAACCCAGAATGGATATATTAATTCCAAAAAGATGCTGATGGGCTCAAACACTGGCTTCTTATAAAAGAGAACTCCATTGACCCCACTGCAATTCCTGGCTCACCAATTAACTTTAAAAACAAGAAAATTTAGATGTGTTCATAATGGTGCAGACTCCATGTAACGACTGCAGAAGAGAGACAAATCTAAGAACTTGGGTTCAGAAACCTGGTGATTCAACAAATTTCCATAAAACAAAAAAAATAAAAGGAGGCTAACTGGTATAATAAAAGGATGAAACCGATTTGGTAATTTGACTGATATAGTGTTTTAGATTCTTTCAACGGTCCGGCACATTCTGCTTGGGTTTGAAATGCTCTCCTGGTGGGAGGGAATAATGACTGACTGACTATCAGTAAGCATTTAGCCTTAGATATGAGTGACACACTTTCCTAGGCATTTTTGAGTCCTATGGCTTAATACAACCTTTAAAACCCAAAGTTAGAGGGGGCAATCAGTTTGTGCATAACCCAGGTTTAATTAATGTTTAACCACTTGACAACCAGGCTATGGCCGAATGATGTCTACAGCACAGATGTCCATATATATATATATATATATATATATATATATATATACACACACACACACACACATGATTTTGTAGTTCCGGGTAAGGGTGCGTGCTCTACCCACGCTGCCATTTGGGCCTCGGGTGTCAATCACCGGGTCCCGGACGGTGATTACCGAGTATTACCAACGGGGGACAGAACTGTATGTAAACAATACAGTTCTCTCCCCTGTCAGTTCCAGCACACTGCTTTGTATGGCTCTGCATAGCAGAGCCATACAAGGCAGTGTGCTTACAGTTGAAAGCTGTGAAAAAGCACACAGTTAACCCTTTGATCGCCCCCACGTTAACACCTTTCTTCCCAGTGTAAGTATAGCGGCAGTGCTTGTTATTACCACTGATCACTTAATACATTTTGCCTTAAGTTTATGATGAAATTTGATTTTCTAAATTTTTTTTATTGGACATGTTTAATAGCAAAAAGTCTTAAATATTTGTTTTTTTTTCCTCAAAATTGTCAGTCTTTTTTTGTTTATAGCGCAAAAAATAAACGCACAGGCGATCAAATACCACCGAAATAAAAAGCTCTATTTGTGGGGAAAAAAACAAAGACTGAAATTTCATTTGGGTGCAGCGTTGAATGACCGCGCAATTGTCAGTTAAAGTAACAGTGCTGTAACGCAAAAATGGCCTTATCAGGAAGGGGGGTAAATCCTCTGGAGGGCAAGTGGTTTCTTTTTTTTTGCATAAACAAAAGGCATCTCACCCTGTTCCTCTGAACCTTGTAACACAGGACTTGCTGCCTCAGAGGAGGAATCTCGCTGCAATTCATCTTCATGTTCACACGAGTTGTGTTCTGGAAGAATTAAATTATAAAATAGTTTAGAGTGCTAAATTTCCCGCCAAAATAACATTACCTTTTTCTTTCCAACTTTAGGTTGGTTTTAGGGATCCCATTCAAATGGAATCCCTACTGTTTCATTTAATTAAGTTTCAGCCACCTTTCTTGGTACAAATCTTTTTTTTTTTAACAAACATTTTTAAAAATATAAACATGAGATGAAGAAAAGTCAGAACACACTGCTATATACTAAACAGCGCATCTCAAACATCCACAAAATGTATTGATATATGAACAAAAAGCAAATGTAAACATATAAATGGGATACTAGAAACTGCAGTGGTGGGTAACCTGTGTAATCTCAGCATGGAACCTTGACTTCAGATTAGGTATCATAGAAAAGGAATTTAAAATATGATGAGAGCAAGACAGAAAGAAAATTGAGGTACATTTTCAATGAGGAGAAAAATATGGCTAGTTCCATGGCCATTCCAATTAAGTGACAGACTAGGGGTCCGTTCCTTTTTTTCAGTAGTTTAGTCACTTTTTGTAAAGGAAAAACAGATCAGTTTTTCTTCAGTTTACATCAGTATTGTACATCCATTACCAATGCAAAAAACGGACTGTTTTTTCTGTTTACATCAGTTTTTTTTTTTTTTTTTTTAACGGAACATAAGAAGGGCTTTGATCCATTCCAAAAAACAGATATTGACGGATGCGGATATAAACAGATGATCATCCATTTACATCCATTTTTCCATAGAGATGCATTGATGTCCGATTTTCATCTGTCAACAGATGGATGAAAAAACGGACAAACAGAATACCCGTGTGAAAGGGGCTTTATAATTACTATAGAGAAACCTTTCATAAACAGGTGGTAAAATGGTTCACCCTTCATACACAACAATGATGAACACGTTTGCACTTCAGTAAAAAGACATCTGTGTGATGTGATGTTGCTATGACCACATTAAAAAGCTTACCATTCTCTTCTACTATGCTCATACTATGATTTCGGCTCTCTCGCTCCTCCACACCTTTAAAGTCTAATGAATTCTCATCCAGGGAACACGTACGTTTGGAAAAAACAATGTTCTACAAAGTAAAAGAAATATTGTTTAGTGTCACGTGGTTAAAGGCTGATGAATTATATTAATACACCCAACACCAGGATACAATTTAACCACCTCCTGTCCGGCCGTTGTATATAAACGGCCAGACGGTGGCACTGCAGGGTCGGGTGGCCGTTTATAAACAGCCTCCCCACACCCTGCTTGTGCGTGCTCCGTGGGGGCGCACAGCGCCGCAATCCGGTGCCCGCTGTGTCCTCCGGACACAGTGGAACACCAATCGTCAGACAGGACCTCTGTGCGAGGTCCCAATCATGTGATCACTGATTGGCCAATCCGTGATCACATGCAGAGAATTAAGCAAGATGTCACTTGTGACATCATTGCTTACTACGTGTGAAATCTGTGAATGATCACAGAGGTCACATGGTACAAGGCTATTCACAACAGCCTTGTACCATGTGACAAGCTGTGACCAATCACAGCTCACACAGTAGTTCTCAATGGCTGCAAGAATGCAGCTAGAGAGAAGGAGAAATGATTGCTTTTACAGCCTTTATGGGTGTAAAAGCAATCAGTGAAAAAAAAAAAAAAAATCTTCATCACCCCCCACAAGTAGTACAGTGTCACCATGGTGACACTGTACTGCTAGGGTGACAGTATGTAAAAAAAAAAACTAAAAAAACCCATAAATATTATAAAAAAATAAAAAATGTAAAAAAAAAAATGTTTAAAAATTTAAATTTTTGGTTATAAACTAATTTGGGTTATTTTTTTTTTTTACTAAAAAGATAACGGAATAAATTGTGGCCAAGATTTATGATGAAATACTATTTATTTGCAAAATTTTATAAGAAAAACACTTTTCAACATTTTTGGACTTTTTCATTTACATAGCAAAAAAAATAAAAATCCCAGTGGTGAATAAATACCACCAAAATAAAGCTTTATCTGTCTCAAAAAAAAAATGCAAAAAAATTCATATGGGTACAGTGTTGCATGAAAGCGCCATTGTCATTCAAAGTGTGATAGTGCTGAAAGCTGAAAATTGGCCTGGACAGGGAGGGGGTAAAAGTGTCCGGACTGGAAGTGGTTAAACCACATCCACCCTGTTTAAACCATCTATAAGTCTATTTTCATGAAATTACTGTCAAAATATTCTTGTAAGCTCTGCCCCTCCAAAAATGTATCTTCGGGGGCTAGCTTATGGAGAAAAGGTGGCTGGGTGGGATGTATTGTGTGAAACAAGCAAAGCCACTCATTTGCTAATGCTAAATTTTAATGAATTAGTAACAGAAGACCTACCTCGTTGCCAACTGGCAATGACTGTGACTTGCGTATCTGCTGTACGTCCCTGTCCTCTGCCAGAGACAGCTTTTCAGGATTAACCATCTCACGGGACATGTCAAATATTTTATCATAGTATGTTATAAGCAGTTCCACAATACGCGCCTGATATGGATAGTCCACAAGAGAGGACAGTGAAATGGTGGCGTCAGTCTGACGTGGCCTAATTAGGGTGGGTCCAAATATTATACCCAGGTTACTGGCAGTCATTTTGTTTTCTTCCACTTCTTCAGTCACCCTATAGGAAGGTAAAGTCGTTATATTACTGTATTTCAGACAAAACTACAAATATAAGTCAAAAGATATTTTTGGTTATGTCAATAATCTGAAATATTTATGCTAGCTGCCCCCTAAATTCCTATTCTGGCATCTTTGGCAAAAGCAGTTAACAGTAAGTGATGGAGACTATTTGATCGTGGTGCAGAAATTTCAAGGACTAATTTGAAGTATTGTTAAAAGGCGCCAAAATATTTCATGGCAAGACTTTCTACACCATAGCATAGTACAACACATGTAATCATGCTGGGCAAATCATCATGAGCCAGTGCTGTCATGTGGAAAGAAAGAGAAAGTGCAAGATGCACCTGTATAACCAGAAGTATTGGGTATTTCTGATGGCGGAATATAATGGTGGAGGAGGAAAGGAAAGTTTGCGATTCTGGTGATGAGCAAAGCACAGGCTCACTTTAAAGAGCAACTGTATTCAAATATAAAAGCAAAAGTATGTAGTGCAGCTTTATAAGTGTTGTCTCAGTGTGTCTTTTTGATCCAGATCAATTCACAACAGGTGCAGGCTCTGGCTCACCATCACATACAATGCAATAGGAAGAAGGGTCAGCCGCACACCGGAGGATAGATGAATATAGTGTGTATTGATCCATAGGACACACACAACACCAGGACATGAATACAGGACCTATTAACACGTTTCACACGATCTTGTGATTAATCATAACTGTTATGATTGAGCACGAGATCGTGTGAAACGCGGTAACAGGTCCTGTATTCATGTCCTGGTGTTGTGTGTGTCCTATGGATCAATAAATACACACTATATTCATCTATCCTCCAGTGTGCGGCTGACCCTTCTTCTTATTGGATCCCTGAAAACACACTTTTTTGTTGATCCTTCCATACCAGTGTAGATTTTTCTATTTCCTGTGATGGGGTGACAATGCTATTACACAGCACAATGTGTCAAGCACCACTGATAGACAAGCTGTCAGACAACATAGATGTTGAAGCTCCCTAGCAAGGACACAGACTACGAAAAAAAAAAACACAAAACAAAAACTATACACTTCAACGCAACCTTACCGCTATAATAAACCTTCCAATGCAAAATATTCCTGTAAAAGCAAATACTTACCCTTTCTTGCTTGCTCAGTAGAAATCTTCCCTCGAAGTCCACTTCTCAGAGTGTCAATTTCCTGGGTCCCCTGTAGTGTTCACTGGTTTCTTCTTTCAATTTCCACATCACTACAGTATACAGTGGTGACATGCAGGTCAGCAGAAAATCACTAAGGGCTACGGAGGACCCAGGAGTTTGCATGTGTTCAACAATAGAAAAGAAAGAGAGGGTGAACCAGCCTAGAGCATTATCCTCAAAGCTTCACTTTATTAATAAAAACGTGGTATAAATAAAATATTTGTGGTAAGCTAAGACACATCTGTTGGTTTGTGAGTATGATATTTACTATGATTTTATTAATAAAGTGAAGCCTTGAGGATAATGCACTAGGCTGGTGCGCCCTCTCTTTTCTATTTTTGTCCAGTATTTATAGACATCCCCAATCTTGAAAAGGCAGCAAGGTGATGCATTTTCCAGCAGATTCAAGATCAATATCTAGCCTATTGCAAGCTGTGGGGATTACTTTTGAGCACAGGAGACTGTGTGGAGTTGTTCACTTTGTGTGTACTTTGTCTGCATCTGTTCCCCTGTAGATTTTGGGGTGAAGCTTCTACTAAGCAGATCTGTGTTTGGTGGATCAGGCAGCAGGAAAAGCAATCATTTACATCATCTTCAGTGATAGCATGAATTGGGAAGTTTAGGAAAACTAAGGCAATCCAATCATAAGAATGCACCCCACAGTTTGATTTCTGTTCAGCAGGTCAAAAGTAGAAAAAGGTGTGAGTTCTGTAATTTTTCTCTTCCAATCACACCCATGCATCACTGCAACAATAAACATTTGTTATGTTTACATGTGCGCATACTTAGCATTTGAAATAGGTCAACAGCTTGTTTTAAATGCGAAGCCTAGCCTGAAAAATCTGCAGGGACATTTGAGAATTATGCTGTGGGATAAATTCCTCACAGGCAAAACAGTAATGTTATGCCTCGGTGCAATGACCACATCTCGTGGTGTGTGTGTGAGAACGGACTGACCTGTCTTTATTACAATTCAAACAGGCAGAATGCCCAGTAACTAATGTACAAACACCTCCAGAATGGGCTGGGCCTGAAAATCTATCCTTGCTCTGCGAACAGATAATATTTTTCCTAAGCTTTTACTCTTTCAACAGATATCTTTTCTAGATAGACAGTACATTAGAGGTTGGGAAAGTGAATTATTTAAGATTGAAAGAAAATGATAGTAAAAACGTTGGAATGGGAATGTGATGTTTGCAAATATGTAAAAATAATATCTGACTCTAGCTAACGAATGTGACCACACTAGGGATAGACTGTTGCTTTCCCATGGAGGGCAGAGATCCTTATCTTCAGCTTGCTTTAGGGATTCTGAGTTTTGGGTTGGACTTGAGCTCCAGTAAACAACTAAAATGCAACACATTTAAAAAGGTAGGTTTTTATGCATCGCCTGTTGAACTCCATTTGGGCTTTAAGGTTTGCAGTCAATTTGTTTTTTTTTCCATAAATTGTATTTAGCCATAGTATATGGGTAGTGGGACCCAGAGCAGTGTACAAATTAATTCTCGGAGTTCTGCCTTAATCACAAACTAAAGAACAAGAAGGAAACGATTTTTGGGACAGACTATTTTATTCATTTCTGCCTTCAGTATATATATTATCTGACCAAAGAGATCTATAGGCTCATTCAGATGGCTGCTGAGAACTGCCCTCTATGCTGAGCTACTTTTTGCTGCATGTGCATCTACCTTGGAGCTGCAAGTGGTCGTATGGACACAGTTGCATATCAAAAAATTGACATGAGGGCAGGAGCAGGTGGATGAGTCTGCGTTTGTATCAGTGCACCCGCTCCTGCCCACGTGTCAAAATTTGTCCATGCAGCCACTGTGTCTGAATCCACTTCTATAGGCTGCCTGCACGTAGATCCGAGGTGGAAGCAGAACCAGCGCAGAACAGCTCAGAACAGAGGACGAGTCTCAGCACCCATTTGAACTCATATTTGAACCCTTCAGCGAGTTCAAATATGGTGATGTCTTTCATTTTAGATATATTGCATTATAGAGTTAAAACAACTGCTCCCAAGCTGACAAATTTATCAAAAAGTTTAAAAAGGTAATCCTAATCCTGGGATACAGTATTTCATTCCCTATATGTCAATGTATACACCATCCAAAGTTGTGTTTGCTTCAATTGCTGCATTTACACAAAAGTATTCAGAGGAGACAAAAAAAACAAAACAAAAAACACAAAAACAGACCCACTAAAATATTGTACTCCATTTTTATCCTGTTGGCCAAGGTATTAAGACATGAAGACCTTATAATATATATAGTCTTGTATCCAAGGTATAATCTACACACCCACAGCAGATATTAGCTGGTAATGTTCTTTACCTGTGTAGATGTCCCACAAGAAACTGTAATGTATTGTAGTTTGGCAGTGGTAGCTGCTTCAACAAGTCTCTCATTTTGAGTATGACCCTGTTGAGCTCAACTCCAGATGGCTGTCTCTTCAATGGAGGGCTGCCTGCTTTACAGTCAACCTCATCAGTGGCACGCTGACTTTCTTTGGCTAGTCCGATTAACTCATTGTAAAGGCGAAACAAAATCAAAGGCTCTGGAAGCTAAAGAAATACAACAATTTATATTTTTACACAAGATATTTTAAACACTGACAGACTTGATAAAGCAGGATTTTCTTGAGTAACTCTTATTTATAGCAGGGCAGGTCTACAATGTATGAGTGCAATATTTCCCGCTCTAAAAGTTGACAAGTTTAAATGGATTTTACACTTTTTTGCAATGCATATAAAAACTTTATTTTACAAATAAACATTTAATACCAGGTGCACCCATGAAAACGGTTTCACAGCATTAAGGGTTTTTAAAGACTGAGCATAGCAGAAATTGTTTGATTTCAGGTTGTCTCTCCAATTCTAAGTGTGTATCAAGCTATAAAAAAGAGGGAGAGGAAAGGGGCAATAAGTCACTACTCTGACTCATTCAGATACCCGTGTATATATGAAATTCTGATATTGAAAATCCACAATTCTTGAAACTTATTAGTTCAGATAGGTTGATTCACCTTATTGTCATTTTATGTCACTGTGAGACTCCTAAGCAGCTATCTTCCCAACATACCTCTGTACATGTACAGTGCATTCATAAAGTATCCAGACCCCCATTTTTCACTTTTGCTATGTTGCAGCCTACAGTTGTTTGAATTCCTTTTTTTCCCCTCATTAATCTACACTCAGTACCCCATAATGACAAAGTGAAAATAGAATTTTAGAAATGTTTGCAAATGTATGAAAAGGGAAAAACTGAAATATCACATTGGCATAAGTATTCAAACCCTAATCAACAACACTTGAAACTTAGCTCAGGTGCCTCCCATTTCTCTTGATTGTTTCTACACCTTGACTTGAGTCCACCTGTGGTAAATTAAATTAATTGGACCTGATTTGGAAAGGCAGAAACCTCTCTATATAAGGCCTCAAAGCTGACAAGGCATACTGTATCAGAGCAAAAGCTTCAAGGTCAAAATGAACTGCCTACAGAGCCAGGATTTTTTGCAAGGCACATATCTGGGAAACGCTATAAAATGTTCTGCTGCACTGAAGATTCCCAAGAGCACAGTGGCCTCCATAATTCTCAAATGGATGAAGTTTGGCACAACCAGGACTCTTCCAAGAGCTGGTCACCCAGCCAAAGTGAGCAATCTGGGCAGAAAGTCTTTAGTAAGAGAGGTGACTAAGAAGGTTCAGGGTTGAGGTAAAGCTGAGTGGAGCAAAGTACAGAGATATCTTCAATGAAGACCTGTTCCACAGCACTCTGGACTTTAGACTGGGCTGAAGGTTCACCTTGCAACATGATAACAGTCTTAAGGCACACACACAGCCAAGACAACACAGGAGTGGCTTAGAGACAACTCTGTAAATGTTCTAGAGTGGCCTAGCCAGAACCAGAACTTGAACCCTATTGAACATCTCTGGAGAGACCTGAAAATGGCTGTGCATCAACGGTCACCATCCATCCTGACTGATCTTGATAGAATTTGCAAAAAAAGAATGGCAGAAAACTCCCAATCCAGATGGGCAAAGCTTGCCGCATCATACCCAAAAAGGTACTTCAACAAGGTACTAAGTAAAGGATTTGAATATTTAAAATAGAAGTATAGCCAAAGCTCTTTTGGCTATACTTCTCCAGTAGGTCACAGGAGTGCAGGTTATTTTGCACTCCTGTGACTGGTTTTTAGCCTGCAGAAAACTAAAGCCCGCTGTCAGCTGATGTCACAGAGCTGTTCCAGGCTCTGAAAAGATCCCAGCCATATGGTCGGGATCCACCCAAAAGCCTGTACCAGCACCTGGTTCAGCCTCTCAGCAATCTGCCAAGAGCCTGAGCTAGCCCCTCCTGCCCCCTGCACACCCCACTGCTACAGTGAGAGCTGGAGGAGCATAGGAGAGAGCCAGAGACTGACAGTCCCCAGCTCTCTGCTCACGCAACACTGAGAACTGAGCGATCAGCGGTCATTGATTGCTTTTTTTTTTTTACTTTTCTGTTTGATGCATTTAGATTGATGCTGTGTCCTCCTGAGTGTAATTTAATTTTTTTATTTAACTCATACTTCTATTTTAATTACCTGACCAGCCTATTTTTGCGATTTCTAAAATTCTGTTTTCACCGCTGTAGATTTACTTTAACTGACAAATACACCGCTGTGTTACATGACACATGTGTGGTTCAACATTTCACATAAATTAAATGTACATCCTTTTTTCCCCACAAATAGAGCTTTTTATTTCGGTGGTATTTGATCGCCTGTGCGTTTTTTTATTTTTTACGCTATAAACTAAAAAAGACCGACAATTTTGAGGGGGGAAAAAAAAAAACCAAACTTTGACTTTTTGCTAATAAACACGTCCAGAAAATTTTTTTAAAAAATAAAATTTTGTCATAAATTTAGGTCAAAATGTATTCTGCTACAAGTCTTCGCTAAAAAAAAGAAAAAAAAAAAATCCCAATACAAGTAAATTGGTTTACGTGAAAGTTATAGCGTCTACAAATGTACATATACACTGGAATTTTTTTTTATTTATTATTTTTAAACTTTTTTTTTATACTAGTAATTGTTGGCGATCAGCAACTTATAGCATGACTGCGGCAGACATTCTCACACGGGTGGGAACTGTCACTGACATCCCCAGTGACACTAATATAGTAATCAGTGCTATACAGTACTGGGCAGGAAGAGGTTAACATCTGGGGCTATTAAAGGGTTAACTGTGTGCTGTATGTGTTTTACTATGTGCTGTAATTTACTATGTAAGCACGCTGCTGTGTGTGGCTCTGCTATGCAGAGCCATAAAAAGCAGCATGCTGGAGCTGACAGGGGAGAGATCTGTATTGTTTACATACAGAACTCTCCCCAGTGAGTGATACTCGGCGAGTATCAGGCTGCAACATAATGAAAAAAGTGAAGGTAGTCTGAAGGCTTTATGAATGCACTGTATATCAGGACCACCTTGTAGACAAATTACACTGGGACTACATTGAAAGGTCAAGCTCAATCATTGTTTGTTATTACTAGAAATAAACAATTAAAAAAAGTTTCAGATTTGATTGACCTTTTTTAAGTTTGTTGTTTGCAAAATGTGATCAAGTGGTGTCACTCTAGACTCCAATCTGTCCTTCCAGCCCCAAGTCCAATTGCTGGCAAACTCATGCAGGCTCCACCTCCGCAACATCTCCAAAATACGTTCATTCCTAACCCCGGAAACTACTAAATAACTCATTCACTCCCTCATTATCTCACGGCTCGACTACTGCAACTCCCTCCTCACCGGCTTACCTTATCACAGACTATCCCTGCTTCAATCTATCCTGAACTCTGCGGCCAGACTCATCCACCTTACCAACCGCTCCGTATCCGCCACCCCCCCCTCTGCCATTCCCTCCACTGGCTTCCAATTGCCCAACGCATAAAATTCAAACTACTAACATTGACGTACAAAGCTATTCATAATACTGCCCCAAACTACCTCACCGACCTGATACCCAAATACCACCCAACACATACTCTTCACTCCTCACAAGACCTCCTACTCTCTAGCTCCCTGGTCTCCTCCTCTCATGCTCGACTCCAGGACTTCTCCAGGTCTTCCCCCATCCTCTGGTACTCACTACCCCAATCCATCAGACTGTCACCTACCCTCCTCACATTCACCCTGAAAACCCATCTCTTCAGGGAAGCCTACCCCGTCCTCACCTAACTGCCGATCTCCTCCACTCCTCCTACCACTCCATCCCTCACAGCCATTTCCTCCTTTACCACTATCCCCTCCCTCCTAGATTGTTACTGTATTGTCTCATGTACTGTCTCCCACTATAATGTTCAGCGCTGAGCAAACCTTTTGGCGCTATATAAATCCTGTATAATAGTAATAATAAGTTTTTTAAAAACATACTTAAAAAAAAAAACACCAATGTCATTGATCAGAATTATTATTATTATACAGGATTTATATATCGCCAACAGTTTGCTTAGCGCTTTACAATATAAAGGGGAATTATAATGAGGTAGAGGCCCCAATAAAATGTCAGTTTCCATTGTGCAAAATATGTCTAGGCCCATTTAAAATATCAGCCCTAACCCTGAACACAGAAACTACTAAGGAAGAAGTTTAAAATTGTAAAATAACGTTCCATAAATATACAGCAGTATTGCAATATACTGAAGCCCGTGAGGTTATTTACCTGACGGAGGTAGAGTTTGAGAACATTGCTTATGTCATGAGCATAAAGATCTGACAGTTCCACCAAGTCTTTTCCATTTTCAAACGCTTGACACAGCTTCTCGACTCTGGACTTTGCTCCATTAACACGATAGATGCCCTGTAAAACACGATGTTTTACTATTTCCTAACAAACTGAGTCATTATTTGACCTAGGCATCATTGATAATCAGTAACGTTAGGAAATAAAGAGTACATAAACAACTCAAAGCGGAATTAGAGCCAAAAATACTACAATAACATTAATAGCCCATTAAAAGCTAAAACGCAACCTTTTGTTTCCATAATTAGTTTAAAACACAGCTCCACCTCACAGTACTTCTTTTTCACCACAAGATGTCTTTTATGGCTAGCATCATTCAACCCACTTCCTCAGGGTCTAGGCCAGGGGTGTCAAACTGGCGGTCCTCCAGCTGTTGTGAAACTACAAGTCCCATCATGCCTCTACCTTTGGGGGTCATGCTTGTAACGGTCACTCTTGCAATGCCTCATGGGACTTGTAGTTTGGCAACAGCTGGAGGGCCGCCACTTTGACACCTGTGTTCTAACTGTTCTGGACCCATCCCAGCCTCCATCTGGACAGAGAATTGAGAATCAGCACAGTAATGAGATCATCTCCCTGTTACTGTTCTCTCTTGCAATCAGCATACTTCTTGTCATAAAATGATTGGCACCTTGTGCTGCTTCTTCCTTTACACTCCAGCCCTGTTTGCATAGGTACTGCAGGAGGCCGATGCCAGGTCAATTAAAGTGTTACTAAACCCACAACAGTAAAATCAGTCTGTATATGCAGTAAAGCATGCTTGTTATGCTCACTGTGAAACCTAAGGGGTTAATCCTTTGTATTGTGTAAAAAGGATGTTTGATCCTGTCTTCTCTGATCTTCACCTTCTACTACCCCCATGCCAACTCCAGATAGAACAGGAGAGAGTGCATGTGATCAGCACAGGGCCAATCAGCACTGTCCAGATAGAGGGTCAGGGGTCCTGCAGCCTTATAGGACAATCAGGGGAAAATTAAAACTCCTCATACAAGCTTTAACCAGTGCTTTGCTGACCACTGATAGAAGTCACATGACTGCTCTAACTGCTGATGAAAAAAGGTATTTAGCAGTTTATATTTACTAAAATAATTGCATTTCTGTGTTCTGTGTGCTGTGGGAGACCAGATATAGTGAATGCAGGGTTCTGGGTTCAGTATCACTTTAAATATTTAATGATGTAATAATGAATACAAAGCTGCATTATTATGTGTATATTACAGTTGCTTGCTGTTTCACTTTAAAGCTGAACTCCAGGGAAATGCAAAACAACCCATGCAGTTAACCCAACAACCCCCCCTCCTCCACTCTGCAAGGATCAAATGCTTGTTTTTCGCTGGAGTACCAATAACCACCAGTTCTCTTGCTTTCACAAGAGAAAGAAAGCTAATCCAGGCATCAAATCTAAGGTCTCCTGAGCTGAAGTACATTACATTTTTGTCTTTGGCATTACATACACTAACAGCTGCAGATCATGGAGCAGAGAGCGGGGAACACATCAGTTCAATTTCTGGGTGTTGTGGATGTTGACCAGTGTGACCAGTTACAGTGTTACAAGACAAACATTGCTCAATTCGGTTTCGAGACAAGGACCACTGCTTCATGTCATGCCATTATTTTGACTGAGAAAGAGAAAATAAAAAATAACACCCAGATTGAAACTCCCATTTCCACCTACCCCAGAGCAATCACAAAAAGTGGTCTAGTCCAAAAATGATGCCTCCTCTTTAGATATAAGCAACAAATTAGCTACCTGGCCTGTACACAGATAAATAATGTCATGCCTTCTAAAGGGTAAATATTTTCAAAGTCTGGAAATATGCACAGGTCTGTACAAAGAAGAAAAGTCCAACAAAAATAAGACCAAAGCATTTTCCAATAAAGAGGGGTTTTAAAATAGTGCCAGCATACAAACCAGAATGGCTGGAATTGTAAAAATGTGGCCACACACCTAGGAGCTAAGCACAAGAACAAAAGACTAGGCCTAGAAAAGACGGCAATAATGCCCTAAGCAGGCTACCTGCAGCACTTTGGCAAACTATATGCATACAGATTACACAGGCTACTGATGTTGACGACCTTTTAGAAGTGGTCTTAAAATGTCTGATGTCCCAATTATTTCCACTCCTCTTTATTTCCACTCCTCTAAATGCCAGCACTATTTCTTTCTCAACATAAACTTCCTTTCATTCACTGAACACAAAATGCTATCTCTGGATATTTAAACTGTATTCAGCCTTAACAAAAACAAAGCCTAATAACCAATCACACGTCATCTTTCTCTGGTTTGGATACATCAAACTGAAATCTAACTACCTGCTGTGTAACTGGCTGTACAAAAAAACATTTTGGCTTACTAATCAAGTAAGTCTTAACATATTATACTGCAATGCCATACTTTAAAAAAAAAAAAATCTTTATAAATTGGCTCTCTTTCATGTGTATAGGACGTACACAAGAGATCTAATTTTCGGGGTATACTGCCGCCTACCGAAGGATTGAATCTTTTTTTTCTTACTTTTCTTCCTCAATGAAGGATCTTCTCTACGTCACTGCTTTCCAGATCCAGAGCTGCTGGCATTATCTTAGCACTTGCCCTATCTCTGCTCGCTTTGTAAGTCTGGTTGAGCTGAACACTGAGAGGTACCTTAGTCACTGGGCTCCCGTAAAATTGTTCAATCCTGAGCACTTACATCATCCTCTAGGCGCAGTGTTGCTCGAGTACTCCAGGCTGCTTTCTGCCATACAGCACTGAGGAAGCAACTCCCTGTTGCTCCTGCTTGCAAAGAGCCACATGAAACTTTGATCCTTTCCTTCTGCCCCCTACAGTGCCCTTGGTCAGCTCAAGCCATCAGACCCTCAGTTTGCTGGCTAGCAGCTGTCCACGTTTCATGTGTACCTGAAGCCTTGCTTCCTACCCATTACATTGTCTGAAAATACAATTTAGGTGAGGGGGGAGGGAACAGTCCCACAATAACTGGTGCCCCCAGCTTCCAATCTACCAACAGCTCAGGGGCTGCTTGCAGCGCACTTACTGATGGTGCCTATGTCTTCAACTTCAAAATTCTACTACCCTCTACTCCTAGAGTCTATTTTATCATTGGACTTCCCTTTAGCTCCAAACAGATGTGGCAGGTTCCTCTGTCCTTTCAGCTGAGGTTTGTATTATTCCATGTAAGTATTTACAGATCATATCACCCAGTTATTTTTGTTGACTCTGACCACAAAGAGGCCAGAAGCTTGCTCCTACACCTTCTCTTGAAGATTCTGTACCCAATTTACCCTGTGGCCTTGGTGGGTTCTGAGCCATCAGCTATTGAACCACAATCTGTTTCTGAGTTTGACCAGTCTTTGACTGATGAGCTTGCCCCCGAGAAGCTGCAAATCACTATTACTCCCAAATTAAAAAAAACAATGTTTCTAATTGATACGGTGTATGCCACTATGAAACTACAGGATCAACCAGTTTCTTCTACCAGTGCTGTCTCCAGTCTTAGGTCCCCATTGCAAATTCTCTCTTATTACACCCGCTATTCTCTTTCTCTATGGAAATGGGAAGCACCCTTACTAGCTATCAGCTACCTCCAAGCGCCAATTAGCATTCTACCAGTTTGCGGAGGATTTTGTACAAAAGACGTCTACCTCCCTGTGGATCTAACAGTGTCTTAAAGCTACTAGCATACCAGTGGAGGTTGCACCTGTCTTTAAGAATCCAACCGATAAATGGTTTGAAGACCTCTCTAAAATTCTGTTCACACTGGCAGGTCATGCTCTTCACTCAGTCTTGGCTGTGACGTTACTGATCAAACAATGGCTGATTAGCCAAAATCCCATAAAGGAGATTTTATCACTGTTGTGGTTGATCCCATGATTATAGAATGCATGGAGAAAATGGCTGTAGTTTTAAACTTGAGTTGTGAGGCTTTGTGGCTCATCTATCGTATTGGTATTCTGTCAGCACACATGCATACTGCTGGACTCCTGAACCAGCATCCAAGATGCATCTGATCTGCTTGGCCTTTGAGGGACATCTCTTTGATTTTACACTTTGTATCATTTATCAAGGACACTACTGGTGGAAAGAGCACTCATCTTCTTCAGCAAAAGAAGCCTAAAGAACAGACTGAAAAGTCTTCTCCCTCTTTATCTGTTAAGAAATGCTCCTTTCGTTTCTCCAGTTCAACACCCACCACTTTGAGACAACCCAATCCTGACTCCAAATCCACCCGCAAGGTCTGGAGCTTGAAATCTGGCAAATCCTCAAACAAGTCTTCCTTGGAATGAAAGTGTACCCCACCCCACAGCAGAAGAAAGTAACATGTTTTACCTTATGGAAAGAGCTCAGACTAGAAATCAAACCAAACAAAGGCAAGAAGGATTACTCTTCCTTTATTATGCAAAACGCAAGACACTGGATTGTAAAGTTTTGTTCATGTGTTGCAGTACGTTTTTGAAGCATTTGATATATGTTACCCTATGGAAGAAGCTTCTATAAGAAATTGCACCAAAAAAGGTAGCTTTTGCATGAACCCTTTGTATTTGGGTCCATATATACAGTGGGGATCGAAAGTTTGGGCACCCCAGCTAAAAATTTGTATTAGTGTGCATAAAGAAGCCAAGGAAAGATGGAAAAATCTCCAAAAGGCATCAAATTACAGATTAGACATTCTTATAATTTGTCAAAAAATTAAATTTTATTTCCATCATTTACACTTTCAAAATAACAGAAAACCAAAAAATGGCGTCTGCAAAAGTTTGGGCACCCTGCAGAGTTAATATCTTGTACTGCCCCCTTTGCAAGTATCACAGCTTGGAAACGCTTTTTGTAGCCAGCCAAGAGTCTTTCAATTCTTGTTTGAGGTATCTTTGCCCATTCTTCCTTACAAAAGTCTTCCAGTTCTTTGAGATTTCTGGGCTGTCTGTCACACACTGCTCTTTTAAGGTCTATCCATAGATTTTCAATTATGTTGAGGTCAGGAGATTGTGAAGGCCATGGCAAAACCTTCAGTTTACGCCTCTTGATGTAATCCCCCGTGGATTTCGAGGTGTGTTTAGGATCATTATCCATTTGTAGAAGCCATCCTCTCTTTAACTTCAGCTTTTTCACAGATGGCATCAAGTTACCATCCAAAATTTGCTGAAATTATATTGAATCCATTTTTCCTTCTACTCGTGAGATGTTCCCTGTACCACTGGCTGCAACACAACCCCAAGCATGATTGATCCAACCCCATGCTTAACAGTTGGACAGAGGTTCTTTTCATTAAATTCTGTGCCCCTTCTTCTCCAAACGTACCTTTGCTCATTCCGGCCAAAAAGTTCAATTTTAACCTCATCGGTCCACAGAACTTGTTTCCAAAATGCATCAGGCTTGTCTATATGTTCATTTGCAAAGTTCAAACGATGATTTTTGTGGTGAGGACGTAGAAGAGGTTTTCTTCTGATGACTCTTCCATGAAGACCATATTTGTACAAGTATCTCTTTATAGTGGAATAGTGTACCACAACTCCAGTGTCTGCCAGATCTTTCTGGAGGGATCGTGCAGTCAAACGTGGGTTTTGAATTGTTTTTCTCACAATCCTGCGAGCTGTTCTGTCTGATATTTTTCTTGGTCTTCCAGATGTTGCTTTAACTTCCACTGTTCCTGATGACTGCCATTTCTTAATTACATTCCGAACAGAGGATATTGACATCTGAAAACGCTTTGCTATCTTCTTATAGCCTTCTCCAGCTTTGTGAGCGTCAATTATTTTCAGTTTCAGTTTTCTAGACAACTGCTTAGAAGAACCCATGGTGCTGATTGTTGGGGCAAGGTCAGATGAGTCTAGGCATTTAAAACCTTTGAGAATGACATCACCTGGTCTTCCCAGACGATGATTGAGAAGAATCCATGACACTGGCAGGTTTCAGCTTTGAAAGGGGCAGTGCATGCTATAAATTCTGCAGGGTGCCCAAACTTTTGCAGACGCCATTTTTTTGTTTTCTGTTATTTTGAAAGTGTAAATGATGGAAATAAAATCTAACTTTTGTTGACATATTGAAAGAATGTCTAATCTGTAATTTGATGCCTTTTGGAGATTTTTCCATCTTTCCTTGGCTTCTTTATGCACATTAATACAAATTTTTAGCTGGGGTGCCCAAACTTTCGATCCCCACTGTATGTACAAGCAGATTTTTTCACACCTAAAGACAGCGTTAAAGTGTTAGCAAAGGCTATAAAAAGATCTATGTATTTTTTTAAAAATCTGGTCTGGTGATGTGATCTAGCAGCACATGCTTTCCTGTGTAAGAATGCTTGACAACAGCTGTGGAATTCCCAGAGCTATGATGTCACCCATAGGCGCCCATTTCCCCCTCCATTTTTGCCGTTCACTCCTCTCCCCTGTAGCAGCAGCTCATTAATCTTGGGGAGTGCTGCTGTTTCACGTGACTGTCCCGGATTCCAAAAATGTACGATTTTTTTTGTACAGGGAATGTAGGATAAGTAGGAACATTTTCAGAAAAGTTATCTTAAATTTTATCTTCCACTTTAAGTCCATCTCAAAGCCGACTTAGAACAGATAATTCAGAAGTGTCTATGCAGCTAAAATTAGCACCCTTCTCTTCATAAACAATCAAGCCATAAAGACAGGGACAGGAATCACACTGAATCTGCAAGTCTAATTATTGTTCAGTTAATTGTAAATAGGAACATGTTTTACACCAGTTAATATAACAAAAACTAAGGAGGTAATTTGCCAAGAGAAATACAAATATAAGTGCAAAAATTGAAAACAAACTATCTGGCTATGACTTGCTATTGGTCACTTGAACCCTGATTGAGTAATGCTTGTAAAATTGACATTCTATGTGCTAAAAAGTTGCAAAAATGCTGTATGCTTTTAGCCCAAAACAGGGCTTAAAATAGTAATAACTCCTTAGCAATTTTTTTTTAAGCTTAATACACTCAGCACAAAAACAAGCATTCCCTAGTGTACTGTTAAAATTCTTACACCAGCACTTGCAATAAATATTGCTTGCTCAGTGCCGTTTCCCTGAACTTCCAGTCTTCACAGTAAAATGTTAACAGTGGACAGTACAGTCTCCAGCAAGTCTGTTAGTCTAGGGAAGGGAGGGAGGAGCAGGGAGTGCCTTGCCATTCTAGGCTACAGGGCTTTGTGTTTCTTTTGATGCACACAGTGTATAGAGACATCTCCATTCCCTCATGCAAGGGTGTCTCCATAGAATGCAGCAAGAGAAAGAAGCGACCCTGAAACAGGAAACCTGGGGCAGGATTAAAAGATAAATAAGCTTCATTCTCAGTAAGTGAATAAATAGGAGAGTGCACTTGTAGCAGATCAACAGGTATTTTTCTTTATATGTAGGGGCTTTAAAGGGATACAACATGGGCACACATAAATGTATTTCAAAATATACTGCATGCATTTTCTTTTACTTTGCCTTGGCATACACTATAAACCAGTCAACATTTTCAGATCTCAAAGCGATAGCCTCTGCAATGCATTGACTGTTTTATCTAAATGTGTTCATGTTTGGGGTGGGGTTTTGAGTGAATTAGAGGCAAAACTCAAGAAAAACATATTGTAAGAGAAAATAGAGAATGCTACTGCTACCCTCCTACTAAACTGCCAATTGCCCCCTTGTCATCATGATTCTCTGACTTCAATATTTTGACTTATTAACTCCATGTATGTATGTATGCAGATAAAGACATTTCCTTGACCTTCCTGATCAGTGGCTCAGAATGTATTGAATCAGGAAAGTCCAAACAACAGGTAAAAGCATTTTAAGAAGGTCGTTTGAAAAGGCAGCCCCTGTATTTTAAGACAGACATCCCAATTTTTGATGTTGAAAGGCATGTGCACTAACAGACCACAATTACTGCCTGCTGTAACAATATACATTCCTGAATTTAATGTGTTTATCCTCATACTACATGGAACAGTGGTTGGTAAACAAACTGGAATACACTCTGATAAGCGCCTACCTTTATAGTGAGAGCACGACTCTCTATTTCGGAGGTGCACTTCTTGATAATAAAAGGAATGCCATCAGGGGTGTTCTTAGCAGCTTGAGTGAATTCCACTCCAAACAGATGAAGTCTTCCATGAAGCTTTTTGTGTCCACACTGAATGGCCAATGTTTCCAGGCACTTCTTATGGCAAGCAAGAGAACACTACAATAAAGAAACACACTAAATGGGCTGTTGTTCCTCTATGCAATGGCTAATAATAACAATTGTGTAATCATTGACTTAAAGCCGTACTGAAAATAAATCCTGGGTGGGACGGGAAGTACAGCAAACACATAAAAAAAAACCTCCAGAAGAGAAGCAATGTGCCGTATCCTTGTATTTTCTGCCCAAACCAGAATTACTGGACTCTTACCTCCTCGCACTCAGCACCATGAAACACCACTAAGCTATCACATTCTCGACACTTGGATGGGGCTCTCAGTTTTCGCAGTTTGTGGGTCTGGGCTGCCTTGGACATAACAGTGTTCCTGAAAGGTCCAGGGGAATTCGCAATCTCGACAGCAAGGTCATTTAAACCTGTAAAAACATAGAATTATCATTGGGTTAAAATTCTTTACACAAAGAAGAACTTTTTAAGGCACAGTTGGTATCCAAATTGGCAACATGACAGAATAACATTATGAAAAAAAAAATAAAATCCTAAACTTTATGATTCAGATTTTTCCTGTCCTGCCTGCATTTTAAAAGGTCACAAAGTGTAAGGCAGAAAGAAAGACTCATATCTCCTATACAAGACTTCAAAATTGTAATCTGTATAAACTTTAAAGGCAGATAGGTGATTCGGGCTCTGGACTGGACTTTATTCTATCCTATTTTTAAGTGAAAAGTAAAGAAGTAAAAGCATTAGTTGTATTATGGATGTATTTAGTAATTTACCCAGCACTTCATTTTAAATCAATGTCATACGTTTTAATGTGACCAAAGATTAACTTTCACAAACAGCTAAGATGACTTATAGCGGTAACATTTTTACCTCCTTCCCTTAAAAAGTCTGTGCACCGAATATACAAATACAATTACTATGTAATCCACAAAAACTTCCTTTACATTATTTTAAATGCTCCTATCCCAGACACTGCAGCTCACAGTAGAAGGGTTTCAGCAACAGAGGCATTTCTATCAATCCAGACAGCAATAGACAGGACAGGTGTGGCCAGGTGCCTAGCTATAGACTTGTGAATCGGCAGTGACAATGCTGATTGTCACACCTCCTGCAACATTTTTTGATCACACTGCAGTGTAAGCAGGCACATCCTGCGTGAGTGGCAACTCTGTCTGAATTCAGGAACAGTGCAGCATCACTACCACACCATCACAGGAAGCTAGGTGAAATTAAATGGCAGATGCAGTTATACACATTATTGCCAAAGGTGTTGGAGCACCCCTCCAAATCAGTGGCTTTAGGTGTTCCAATCACCTCCATGGCCACAGGTGTATAAAATCAAGCACCTAGGCATGCAGACTGCTTCTACAAACATTTGTAAAAGAATGGGTCGCTCTTAGGAGCTCAGTGAACTCAAGTGTGGTACCGTGATAGGTTGCCACCTGTGCAATATGTCCATCTGTGAACTTTCCTTGCTACTAAAGATTCCACTGTCAACTATTTGTAGTATTATAACAAAGTGGAAGCAACTGGGAACAACAGCAACTTCGCCATGAAGTGGTAGGCCACGTAAAATGACAGAGCGGGGTCAGCACATGCTGAAGCACCAAAGTCACTAACTGTCTGCAGAGTCAATAGCTAAAGACCTCCAAACTTTGTGTGGCCTTCAGATTAGCAAAACAATAGTGTGTACAGAGCTTCATGGAATGGATTTCGATGGCTGGGCAGCTGCATCCAAGCCTTACATCACCAAGTGCAATGCAAAACATCAGATGCAGTGGTGTAAAGCATGCTGCCACTGGACTCTAGAGCAGTGGAGACGTGTTCTCTGGAGGAGTGATGAATCAAGCTTCTCTGTCTGGCAATTTAATGGACTTGTCTGGTTTTAGCGGTTGCCAGGAGAATGGTACTTGCCTGACTGCATTGTGCCAAATATAAAATTTGGTGGAGGGGGGATTATGGTGTGGGGTTGGAAATTCTGGACAAATTTCATCCTTCCAACTTTGTGGGTACAGTTTGAGGATGGCCCCTTCCTGTTCCAACATGACTGCGCACCAGTGCACAAAGCAAGATCCATAAAGACATGGATGAGCGAGTTTGGGGTGGAGAAACTTGACTGACCTGCAGAGTCCCGACTTCAACCCGACAGAACACCTTTGGGATGAATTTGAGCGGAGATTGAGAGCCAGGCCTTCTCATTCAACATCAGTGCCTGACCGCACATATGCGCTTCTGGAGAATGGTCAAACATTCCTATAGACACACTCCTAAACCTTGTGGACAGCCTTACCAGAAGAGTTGAAGCTGTTATAGCTGCAAAGGGTGGGCCAACTCAATATTGAACCCTATGGACTAAGACTGGGATGCCATTAAAGCTGATGTGGGTGTAAATGCAGGTGTCCCAATACTTTTGGCAATAGAGTGTATTCAGTTGCTGCAGCACATCTTTTTCTTAAAGGTAAAACCATTGTTCCGCTTTAGTTAAAGGAAGCAGGAAGATAAAGTTACCATTGTCTGAAGGTGACGGAGGTTCCCTCTCATCTAGATCATCAGCTGATGACATAGTACCAGTCGATGGTGTCCTCGGAAGTCGCCTTTTAAAGTCACCTATAACAAAACGTTGTAATTACCACATAATAGACATGATTTTCCTTGAACAACTATAAATGAACAACCTGTACCTGGACTAGCAGATGGAGAATCCATAGATCGTGACTCACTACTGCCGCCTGCACTCTCAGAATCACTGCACATGCCACCACTCTGGTTGCCAACAGACCACGACCTAAACGGTGGACCTCTTACTGCTTTAGGAGAGGAAACCAGAATAAAAGGTTATAAGCTACAACTTAACATGTTAAAAAGCCATTTAAGTTATGAGTTATAAAGGCATACTTTGAATGTCAGTACTGCTGCTTGATCTTTTCTGCCCCATCTTCTGAGAGCGACTATACGGAGGACTGCCAAGATCCTCAGGAGATTGATTGGAATATTCAGCAGATCCTTGAGATAGGTTCCCATGAGAGGTGTGTGCACTGTTCTGTTTTTCCTTTGGCATAAGAGGCCTAAGAGTGAAAATCAAACATGCATGTTTGCCCAGGTTGTTGGCAGTTATGTATTAATAGTAAATGGTCAGTCTGTAGCAGAGGGAAACAAAATGAGGCCCACGAGTCAGATTGTGTGGTCTCTAAGCAATACAATATGATGTTTAAATCTGCTACTGGTAACCATACAATTCAGGTCTGAGAACAGCTCACAAACTACTGTTTATCAGAAAATGATACAAAGAAACCTTGGGTGCATCATGAAAGAGGAATGATCACCTTTGACCCACTGCTATGAGCAGATTGGACCCCTCAACATTGATCATTCTTGACCCAGCCTAATGCAAAGCATTAGGCTAACTACTATGATAAATAAATATGTATACACCTGCACTGAAAACCCATGCTGTGCAGTTAACGAAAGAAGCAATTGTGCATAAACAATTCCATAACCACAACCATTCAGTATTCAAGCAGATAGCCTTGCCTTTGATAGAACAGTCCAAACTTGGCCATGCAAAAGAAGATCAAAGAGGACCAATCTAGGCTAATAGCAATTGTAATGGCATCTTAGAAGCAGCAACTAAAACTATATAAAGCTGCCAAACAAGCGAGAAGAAGTATGTCCACTTAACCACCTGCCCTCCTGAGGATTTACCCCACTTCCTGACCAGGCCATTTTTTGTGTTACTGCGCTGCTTTACTTTAACTGACAAATGTGTGGTCATGTAACGTTGCACCCAAATGAAATGTATGTCCTTTTCCCCCACCCCACAAATTGAGCTTTCTTTTGGTGGTATTTGATTGCCTGTGCATTTTTATTTTTTTTGCACTATATAAAAAAAAAAGAAAAAAAAAAAAAAAAAAAAGACAATTTTCAGGGAAAAAAAAAATATATTTTTGACTTTTTGCTATTAAATATGTGCAGTAAAAAAATGTTGAAAATCAAATTTCATCATAAATCTAGTCCAAAATGTATTCTGCTATATGTCCTTGCCAAAAAAAAAAAATCCCAGTACGTGTAAATTAATTGGTTTACGTGAAAGTTATAGCGTTTACAAATGGCGGTATATATACTGGAATTTTTAATTTTTTTTTACTAGTAATGGCGGCGATCAGTGGCTTATAGTGGGACTGCAGTGGGCATTCTGACACAGGGGGGAACTGACTTGGTGTCACTGACATCCCCAGTGACACCAATACAGTGATTAGTGCTAAAAAAAAGGAAAAAAAAAAAAACTTGCACTGTACTAATGGCACTGGGTAGGAAGGGGTTAACATGATTGCTGATCAAAGGGTTAACTGTGTGCTGGGTGTGTTTTACTATGGGGCTGTGTGTTTGTGCTTCACTGTCGGAGATGCTCAGCAGTCACCAGGCGCTGGCGAGTAATCACTGACCGGGACCCGGTGACTGAGAGCCGAGGCTGCAGACCCCTACATATACCCACTGAAATGACTAGCCTCAGGTGATACAGATTAAACAAATCCCCCTACATAAGTTTGTACCTGTTTCTCTGCAGCCCTTTCTCCACTACAGCTGTTCAAGTACAGATAGATATTATGTGACATAATGACAGTAGTAAAACTGCATACACCATGTGGTTGACTTACCGACCAATTTGTGGATTTTGAGCTTCACAGGACCTAACTTCAATACCACAATCATCCTTAGGCAAGTTCTTTACAAACTCTGAAAATTGCTGCCCTGGTTCGTAACGTTTGGCATTCTCGCAGAGGGACTGGCAGTTGACAGGCAAAGATACCACCTGGGCATGCTGCATCTGGAACAGGTTTACTGTAGCCTATTTAAAGAGGATTTTCAGATGTTTAGAACATTTTTCTCTAAAAGAAAAAATAACTCCTACAATTTCAGTACCCAAAAAAATATAAATAAGCATTAACCACAAAAGTATGTAAACACGCTGGTGCATGAAGTTACTTATGTCTACTTTCTGTTTATTGATGGTCCTTTTCGGAATAATATGTTTGCAAGACCACATGAACACCCTGTTGCTATGTGTTGTGGACACAACTGCCCACCACACATAATTTCATCACAGACACTGTTTCGTTATTTCAGACACACAATAAGGAACTTTTTTGGTTTTTTAAAGAAAATGTTAAGGTTTAAAGTGGTTATAAACTGAAAAGTTTATTTTTACCTTAATATATTCTCTGCTGTAAGGTAAAATACCTTCCAATGCCTGTTCCATCACCCCTTCCCAAACAGGATTATCTCGATCTGCTGCTGTGCCCCTTTGCAGCACTGCTCTCCTCTCTTACTGGTCTCACATGAGACACATGGCAGTGGGAGCCATTAAATCCCGCTGCTGTCAGTCAACTCCTGTG